TCACAGTTCCTAGTAGCCCTTTAATAGTTCATTTAATAGAACAACAATTAAAGATCTAGATATGGAAGGCACCAAACTCGAGACCGTTGAGATATTAGTTGTGACCACTATCCTTAAGCCACCGGGTCACGACGGGCAGCTATTGACACAATGGTTACTGATAGACTGTGAGGGTCATTTTGGCTGTACACGTTTGAAGTACACTTATAAATACACTTTTCGTGCTTTAATTGAAGCAAAAAGATAAATAAAGGGTATGTTTCTCGACGGTGCGAGACACTGTCCAACTGGTTGGTCTGGTCATTATGCACAACGGGATCGCATGGACTGGATACTATTTCTTCCAGTTCTTTTTCTTCAGAGCAGTTCCCATTCTGTTTTTCGGGGTTGATTGATCGGTCACGTCTTGCAAATAGATGGAATGGTTGATAATAATAACAAATGCAGAGAAATTTAAATGTTCTAGTAAAATAATGTGGCCAACTGTGCATTCGTCTCCAGGGTACCTGCTTCCATGCAGGCTAGTCCCTCGAAAGTTTTCACCCACCCTTCCATGTCTGTTCTGACCGTGTGCTGGTGTGACTTTAAAGCACGTTTGCCATCATCAATTGTACTCATCTTTAGGGCTCGTTTTAAGTTTATATATGGATATTTAGGTTACATAGCCCTTAGCATTATTCGTATTTTTATGTCTAGTACTTTTATTACTCGTCAGAGAGTCGATGGCATCTTGACTCGTACGGGTTCATCTATTATTTTGGAAATTAAAATCTGTCACCTCAGGAGTTCTACCAAGTCGTGGCCGACAATGGAGTAATGAAGAACATAGTATATGAGGAGGTAGAAAGGTACTTACATTAATGATCATAAATAAGAAATAGCTGTATGTCAATAGTCTCAAGAATACCCCCCGGATTTTTCGATGAAATTGTGCGGTGAGATCGCCGTAATAGGTGGCTGCTCAGATTATCTATATGCGGGGCAGTTCTGAAAGGAGTCTACAGGGTTATCCGACAGTTTCCTATGTTTTCAAGATACACTATTTGTTGTCCCAGTGCACTCAGAATTGTTACTGTTGTTGGGCTGTTGCTCTCAGAAAGGTAGAAGAAATATATAATAGTACAAGACGAATGTAAATAATAGAAACGAGAACAACAGTTCATATCTTGACGGTGTGCGAGACGGATTGAAACTGATCTAGTCGAATGTTATAACCAGATGGTTGAAAACAGTTTCTATTCACGTTTGGCACAAGAAAAGAGGTTCCGGATCGATGCATCATTGGCAGCCGAGGTGCGCAGGAATAGACATTGACAGATGGTTAACATAACGTGTCATGTGGTCAAGTGACTGAAGGCTTGTGACACCACTGATTGAGGTCCGACCCATCTTTGGTTTTGGTTTGCCAAGGTAGTTGTAATGTTTGAACATATTGCTTCTGAATGCATAGACTTGGTTTTGTCAACCTGATGCATACCGCCTCAGTGGTAGCAAGTAGCCGAGCGCCTGACCGATTGTTTAGCTGCATTAGCGCTCGATATAGGAACTCAAATGACTTTCCCTTATCAATGAGATGACTGGTGCAGATCAGATAGTTAGTTACGGGACTCAACTTAGTTTTGTCTCGTTGGGTGACGAGCGATATTGGTAAATGTTCGTTGATTCGCATTTCCAAGGGCCTGGTCGCGCGCCCAATCTAACTAGCCCCACAGAAGCAGGTGAACCGGTAGATTATGATTGCTTGGCGTTGATCAGGCATCCTGTCTTTGAATCTAGGAACAAAAAACGAACGGCTTGTGAAAACCCCACTTGGTTGAGCTGCGGTAAAGATCATTCTGTAAATCCCTATCAGTCGTCGTGTGCATATCTCAGCCGGTATGTCACCTAAAGGTGACGTACCGGCTGAGTGAAGTTGGAGGAAAAGCTGTTTCTTCTCTACCGTTTATACTTGTAGTCTTGGGCTACCAGACTTTATATGACAGTCAATGAATTGTTCTGAATATCTGTTTTCGGGAAATGTTTGCCTGATTAGCTTCATTTCCTCTTCAATTAAGTCCTCACTACAGATCTTCCGTGTACGATTGGTCAGCGTATGTACTAGTGTTCCTCTGCGGCTAATTGGCATAAAACTCCGGAGTTTTGTGCCAATTCGTGCGCAGCAAGATCACAGTATTCAGTGTAGATTCCCCAAGAGTATGTTTCTTTATGAAGCTCGTAAGTACAAGAAGTCCATTGCATTTGTCGTTTCCTGTAGCATCCCCACAACGCTGCAATAGCTTACTTTCGGCAAGAATTACTTAATAATAATGATAAACTAATTATTATCAGCTGCTTAAAGTTTGCTGAATGGATACTCATAGTTCTCATCGAGCAGATTTGACGTTATAAGGAGAGTAATATTTGATTGAGTCATGATTTTTATGGAATCTATGATATATTGACAAAGCAGTCGGCATTCTCTCACCATTCAGCATCGAATTTCATTGATGTGTCAAAAAATCCTTTATCATCCATTCGTTCCTTCAAGCGAATTCGACATTCCATGCTTATCCCTAATTCGGAAGTAGAGTTTTGATATTTATGCGTTGCACTGTCCAAAATGTTTCTATTCTGAAAATGACAGACTCCTAACTTCATGAAGTTGACTTACCTTGCTGAAGATCCAATCTTTTGATCCAAAGATGCTTCTGTGTATCACTGATTTCTATGCTGACGATTCTCTAAGTGTTCAGAAGTGAAAGAAACAGGTTAGACGGTACCTAGTTGGGAATGGCAGATTCATCTGAGCTTGTGGTTGCCTTTTCTTCGGAGCGGTAACGATTTCGGAGTATTACTTTAGAGCAACACTTACAGCCTCTTTTCGACTGCTCTATTTAGGTTCTGCAAAGTATTATTTCTTAGATTGGTAAGTTGAATCATGATGTTTCCCTAATATGCAGATGTAAAAGACATGAAAATCCGTATCATTATAAAAAATCGAACTAAGTGCACAGTCGCAGAAGCTGCGTGTACAAACGCCAGATTCCAAGGAGTTTGTGCATGGTACAAATTTAACCCTTGGGTTGATTTCGAAGAGGGGCTTATGAACATCCCATCCGTAGCCCGCTGTAACAGCAGCATTGTCGAATTCCTGGCCACGGGAGTCACCCAAAATAATTCCATCCTCCTTCAGTTCTATCGTAATCCGTTCATAAATTACTTCTGCGCTCTTGTTGTCGGACTCAATAAGCGGAGAAGCGAATCTTCAACACCACATTTTCATTCGTTTTGCGTAGCGCATTATCACAGTTATCTGAATTTGTGAGAGATAGTTGGAATGCTATCAAAAATAAATCAAAAATACTTCTTTTGCTGGACCTGAGTTTTTCTCTTACCTGCTTTGCCAGGATTTGCACAAAATTCATTTCGAACTTTGCAGGCAAATAAAATGGACTCTGCTTTGCTTTCCCGGCTGAACTGTCACCAGATGTTTCACATGAATATGGCCATACTTTATCGACAAATGTAGACAGTATGAACAATTTCCCGTATTCATGCGGGCTTTATCATCCTGGATGTCTTTTCGGAGACTACGTAGTGCTATAATCTGCTTGGCGAGCAACCTGACTTGATCTAGTAGTCAAGCTGTAACTTCAAGTTATCTATTTGTTTCCTTTTCTGCAAGGGCTTGCTCCAATTTATAAATTATCTTTCATTCAACTAACCGGATCTCCACCTCTTTGAGTCTTAGGGATGCTTGAGTACGCGAGTTACTAGATTCATGTTCACATAATTGTGGATTTATCTTCCAAGAGTTTTATAAAACACTCATAACTCAAAATACTAGACTATTCTGTTGGAAACATCCTGCAGCCGAATCAAAACAGGGCCTATTTAAAAGGTAGATACAACATGTAGTTACACAACTTTTGCTTTCCGTTTTAGAAATCCCGAAAGTAGTTATTGGTTGTTGGCTTCTTAGTTACAACTTTGTATTCTTTCGAGCTGCTGTGCAACAGTAGGTCCTCACCGGACAACTAGAGTGCGAATTTCTTGGCCAATCTTAACAGGCCACAGATAGACATCCATAAAATCGGTTGACTAGTGGGTTATTGTACCAGGTGTTTGCTGCCTTTCCAGTTCTTCAACTTCATTGCATTTGCTACTTCTGCCCTACATACATTTCCCGCTGCATCAATTTTTCTAATGTCGCTTACTATTGCCCGGTTATAAACTCTGCAGTACCACTTACACCTTCGGTCTCAGTATGATTACCATGCTTCAGTTTTGCCACATTGTTCATGGAAGAAGTTTTAGTTCATGTATACTTGATATCGAACAAACAACTGCAGTAAAAATACCGCCCCTGTCACATGGCACCGGGGAAAAACCATTCGCTCCCCTTTGCTACACCTCTGCACGATAGTCCGCATGTAATCACCGAGGAATCTGCGAAAACCCTTTATTCGTGACACAGCATGCACTGATGGGTGGACTTGTTAGTTCAACTACCCGAGTTTCGTGCGTCTGAAGGGAGAGCACATAAAACGGATGCTGACTTTCGTCTGATGACCAAGGTACTGTAAGCTTTGAGGTGCTTCAATTTTCCTTAGCACTGTAGTTATTCTTCATCATGCTCAATCAACCTTCGAATGCGACTGAACCCCTGATGTTCTTACATACCAGCTAAATCCAATGAGCCCCAGCACACCGTCACCTGAGTGTTGTAAAATTGTCAGGCTGGTTCAGCATTGTGACGACAAGGCGGATCGCCATAGCAACTGTTTTCTGTTCTAAAACTAGTGTGGAATGATTCGCATAAGAGTACCAAGATTTTGTTTGTACATCCAAATATCCAGCTGTTGCATTCTCTTTTCTCAGATCTTCATACCAATGAGCTGAATTCCACGATTTTCCAAAAGTGGCTGAGTTATCATGGCAACTTTGCTTATGTTTAATTCACATAGTCACATTAATTTGATTTATGCGCATCACCGGTCTGTGATTTGTACTTGATTTAGGTGAGTAAAATCAGTCTGGTCGATTTGGCCGGCTCGGAAAGGGCGGATGCGACAGGAGCGACGGACGTCCGTTTGAAAGAGGGGGCAAATATCAACAAATCGCTCACCACTTTGGGCAAAGTGATTGCCAGTCTGGCCGAAACGGTAAGTCTGTTTCTGAGGCTAGCGTTTCGCTCGCGGAAATGCTAACCTACAGGCTGCCATTACGAAAAGAAGTTACTAGAGTTTGTGGACAGCGGCCGATCTCAGCCGTGGACCTAATTTGCGCTGCAAATTCCCATACCGATACTAGAATGGTGAATTTTATATCTAAATGTTCTATACACGGTTTTACTTTTCTTTGATCCTTTTAAACAATGATGGCAGAAACAAGGAAGAGAACGTGGGATGTAGTGATTTTCCTACTGATATCTTACCACCGAACCATCAAAATGTACATAGAGATTTTGTTGGAACGGTTTGAATTAGAAGTCCCTATTAAAGTGCTTCTGAAAACTATCACTAAGAACAATATTTATCATGCAATTGCTTTGACAGAGTGTAACAATGATAGATAAGATGGACTTCCACATTCACATTCAAGGTTCACTTGGCGTTAGACGGACTGAGTCAAGCATAAGTTGTTAGTTTAAAGCCAAAGAAGAACATGACCACTCCACGCAAGAAGTGTTGAAATATTCATGTATAAGGCTGTCCAATATTGAAATATATGTCACAGGGTTTTGTAACAGTTTTATTAAAGTAAACCTTAGAACCGGCTAAAAGTGCCAACAGCGGAAATTGGTTAGTTGCTGTCTTTGTGCCTCTTGTACTGTTGGAAAATTCTCGGTGCCGTAAAGTAACATGGAAGTGTCGCCGCATAGCATGTAACAGGATGGAAATAGATTTAAACTCATGCGTTTTATTTAATAGTGTTCATAAAAATGCTAATCAAAGCATAAGCTATTTTGCTTGGCGTTGTTGATGATTCCTCCTAGTCAAATTTCCGACAGACTTCTCCCATGCATCTAGAAATGCACCCGAAGGCCGTTTCATTCGATTAGGACTCCCCAGCAGGTCGGCTGCCTCGGTAAAATCAGCCACGTATTAGACGTTGGGACGCGATTTTCATCACTTTTGGGCAGGGATTTGCTGTTATTTCGGGTGATTCTTTGCAAGGCTATCCCTATTGGAATAAGTCCTATTAAGCGAAAATGACCGTCGGAGCTTTTGGGTTGGTGGGGGACTGACTGACTCGGAATTGATGGCAAAGACGCAGCTCTAAAAAGTGTATGTTCAATTTGCTTCAACTTGCAACTATCTGAATTAGACATAAATTTATTAATCGCAGTACGCTTGTGGACATTACGAAATGATCGTTGGCCACTAAACACTCTAGCTAGTCAAGTTTTGCAAATCGTCTAACACATCAATATGCATCTTAGGACGTACGTCACACAAGTTTTCACGCGTTACGAGAAGAAAAAACACACCAAACTGAGGACATTTTGGTCTTTATGTATTTAAGACTATCGAAAGATGGCGAGCAAATAGGAAGTAACGGTCTCAGGTAGACCGTAGTCTACTGACATCTTCTTCTTTTCTGTTTTGATGAGATTAATAAGAGAGCTGACTCGGTACAGAAATGCTTACCATCCCAATACAGCATTTCTCAGTCAGCAGGCTTTTATAGATGCTTGCGTTGACATTGTCAGGTGGACCAGCCAAGCCACTGTCCCGTGACCCAAGTATACAAACTTTTGCCTCCGTATGAACAATACATCAAAGCTGGGAGAAATGTTGTGTAACTTTGTCTACCAGTGCAAACGTGCATGAGTTCTGGGCACACTGACGGATTACTTCTTCGAGAAATAGCCCATCTGCGTTTCAGGACACGTGCAATACAATTTTCAACAAGCTGATGTGATTCCCTTTCAACCAATGAGGCAGATCATCTGAACGAAAGTAAGGGAAAACGTAAACTGACTAAGCATATACCATCGAGTATTCACTAACAAACAAATTGGATGGTATGTGTCTTCTGTTAACGACAAAAGCGCTTGGGGGCTGGAGTGACACGTGAAAACTCTCGGTCCAGGCAAGGAAGGAAGCCAAGATGTTAACTACGGTTCTATTCAAATAGTAATCAAAGTACAATAGGTATATACCTCGAAAATGTTCGACCAGTTCCGAAACAACCGGCCTTCACCATGTCAAAAAGGGATGTAAATAGTACTTGCCACCATACTTAAAGTGTCACATGATACCGCGTCCACGATCGGACTCTGATCATTCTTTTATTAGGTCCCTTAATCCATGGTTCATTCGTTTGCTATAGTGTTGAAAACGGAATGCGATAGGTTGGGCTGTTGGAATGGTTCAGCTCCGTCAAACAGTGAGGGTTGGAGGAAGGTGGATGTGCGTACCCCTGGAGCGGGAGGATGATTCAAGTCCGAGGTGTGTGTGGGTGGGCTGGTCTGGACGGTTTGCACAGTGTGAGTCAACGGTCTCCACAGTGAGAGGCGAAGTAAAGTAACGGCAACATCTAAATGATTTCACATGGAGGATCCTCGGTAATCCGACGCTCATCAATTGGGCAGGCGTCTGCTTTGGTCATCCAGACTGAGATCCCGACACGCGGCTTGCTAATTGCACAGTAGTTATGTGGGTTGGCAAGTAACCAAGGCACATGCACTGGGTGAACAGGTAGATCATAGGAGTTAAGAACTAGAGCGTGTTATTCATCTTGTGGATTACATAACCCTTAGGTTTGGAGGACAAGTAACCATGGGGCATAGGGGTGAGCAAACAAATAGCGGGTGGGAATGCAGAGTTAGCTCGTGAACTGCCTTGTAAATTTACCGCTAACACCTTCTAGCCACACAATAACTTTCTAAGCGGGCAACAGAACACAGAGTAAATGTGGAAGAACAGTTGCACATATTCGTCGCCTGATGTTTCTCCGATTTGAATAATAGCGAGAAATCAGTGGTCTTTATTACCAAAAAAATGACAAAATTGTTGCATTCAAAACAGCGAAGGGAAAGCTGCATGTTATGTCCAATCATTTTTATTTCTTTAGTAGAGAATGTAATGTTTCCTACGTTTTCGGATCCTTTTGTACATATGGTATGCTTTCAGCGATTAATCAAGAGCATCAATCTGAGGCAAAGGATTGTTTTCTATGAGACATCTCCCGGCCGGTATGTCGCAGAACTCGGTCCTTCAAGGACAAGCTGTTTATTGAACAAAGCTGGTTCAGCAAAAGTGACAGTATCAATAGGTTGCAGAAGCCTTGATGTAAATAATTAGGTCAGTTCCATAACTATCGACGTCGCTGCATTCATGAGCATTTTTCATTGAATCAGTTAAACAAAGTCATTCCAGTTATCGCAAATACGAACTAATCTGCGTATTGGTGAATATGCATAGGAGTCCAATCATCTGCTTCGTGCGCTTGCGGCAACCTAGCCGCTTGCTTCCTCATGTAAAGCAGTACCGTTCTTCTGCTTGCATAAACCTATCACAGCTTCCCCTTATTTCCTGATCAGTCGCGTCGATTTGACTGAAGACTCCGTACGCTCTTCCACTCTGCATGGTCTTTGCTGCCCTTGTCCGTTGTGCTTCATGCTTCGCGTTCACCACGCTCCAGGTGTAACCTCAGTTGCACTCGGTTCCTTCTGATTATGTTCCAGAGGCGTTGACGTCATGAGACCTTTCTCGGACATTCGCAGTCACCACACCTTTTTCATTGCTTATTGACACCCGGAATTGGTTGAATCCACACTTCCTCGTCTAACGAACCCTCAGGCAGTGCCAGGGTACCACCGTCGTTATAACGTTTCTGGTCGGCCATCCGTCTTCGTAAATTACTTTGTAGTTACTCATGCGACTGCAAGACCGGGTGTAAAAATACAACTGACGCAGGCATAAGGATTCCTGTCCTCCTGCTGTATAGAACTTGAACTGGAACAAAAAGTATGCTAAGCCATAAGGCGTTGCGAATTTTCGACATCTTCGATATGTATCTTTATGAGTGGCTCCAGCCTTCGACAACAGCTTCTTGGCTTGTTTGACTGCGTCCCCGCTTTACCGTTAGACTGGCTGGGGTACGGACTGGTTTGTCGATGCGAATAGTCCTACATTTCGCGAAGATCTGGAACGCAGCACTTGTAAATTGCAGACTATTTTCGGAAATCAGTTTTTGCGGTATTCCGTGTCTGGCGAACTGAGATCTAAGTTTATTAAAGACCGACTCCATGGTGATAGCGGCGACTGCATCGATATCGAAATAGTTATTGTAGTAGTCCACTGTGCTTCAGTAGTCTTTCCCGTTAGCATAGAACAAGTCAACTGCTAATTTCTTCCACGCCCGACCTAGAACCACCCGCCGCATTATTGGTTCTTTGGCTTGGCGAACCTCGTGCGACTGGCAGGTTGAAGAAAAAGATGCTAGATCTCAGTTAACTCGTCATCTCAGGGCAGAACACCAGTTGGCGTACTCTGCTTAAGCTGTATTTAGCACTCGAATTGTATCCACGAGACTGTTCTAGCATCCATTTGCGAAGCTGCGGTTGGATAAAAACGCAACTTAATTTAAACAACAAACCGTCGCACACCGTGAGTTCATCCGGAAAATTGAAGCATGGCATTACTTCTCACGGGAATTTGATTTTCTATCTGACCATTTACATAATCGCACTTTTCACACAGCTATGAGAGTAGCGACTGCCACCGTATGAGGCCTTAGTTGTCTCAGGCAACTTGCTGTTATCGCTAAGCGTTGTACCAGGTTTATTGTCGCGATTTATTCTTACTGGTGTTCAACTATCGGAAGTTCATATAAGGTTAAAATACGAAGGGATGGTAAATGGTGGTTTCTTCTGAAATAATTCGGTCAATGGCTAGACAGCAAATACTTTGCCGCTGTCTTATTCGCACAAATCGATTGTGGGTCACCCTAATCTTACTGTAGCAAAAACGACGCGGGGGAAGCAAATCGTTTACTGCCATTAGAACGAGTCAGTGACAACTCACAAACCCGTACAGATGTGCACCGCGTTTTCCTCCCACGACGCAGCGTGGATGAGGATTCGTGTGACGGATCATTCCCATTGCCTACGAGGTTGAGTTGGAGACAACCCCTTCAACTTTCTATCCCGTAT